CAGCTTTAAAAAAAGGTTAAACTGCAGAACAAGTAACCCTGAGGAAAATAACAGTAGTCAAAACCTGAGAAAGAAATACCAGAATAAAGGGATAACAGCCAATCATGTCAACACATATAATTTAAACAGATAGTTGGCCAAACATCCTGGTGTAATTCAAAGTAAAGTAGAATGTAAGGGGTCATATCAGTGACTACTGGCGTAACTGGGGCAGGGTCATGGGTGAACAGAAGGATGAAAGGGATGAGACCTGGGATGAAGGATTAGATGGAGCAGCACAGGATGCACGTCTGACTTCTTGCACGTCTTGTGAGGAAAAGACGGAAGACAACGAGGGAGGCAGAAACATCAGTGAACAGCAGATGTCAGGGCAGAGGTCACTGGAACTTGGTCTCAGTGCACTAATGACTGCTTCTTGTGGTGAGAAGATGATGTTGGAGCACCGTTGTTAGCTCCACCAAAGAGGTTGTGTTTTCAGTTCTGAATGTCTGTGTGTGGGTCAGCAGGATTATGGAAAAACTACAGGCACGATTTTCATGGATTGTGGTAGAATTTTGAAGTGGATCCAAATCATGGGGCCGTTATAGAAATTATTTTTCACTTTTGTTTACATTGTGAGGTAGGTCAGTCGTAATAAAGGAGTGTATCTGGTTGCGCTTGCAGATTTGCAGATTGGCCATGGCAGAGGTACCCTTCTAGTTTTAGATGTTTTTGTACAATTTGAGGGCCAACGCAATGTGTTTAGAGATCCTCTATTTCAAAAGTAACTAGAAGTTGCCCATTCGGGGGCACCCTATATGGGCCAATGTAAAGTGAAGCAAACTTGTCTGGGTAAGGCCATTAACGCAATTCAAATCACCATATTAGCAGAGACTATTTTAGATCTATGTTATAGTGTTTTAGTTTCATTCTGGTGTTTAAAATAGCTAATCTAAGATGGCATTACACTTGGTAAAGGAATTCTACCAATTTTATCATTTACAGGATTACTATTGCATATGTGAAAATAAGTTCTTATAAAGCATTTTGTAGCTCCAGAGGCAGGTGCGTAAAGCCTGATAAATTGCCTCAAGTGATGTCACTTGGGTCCGATAAAGAGTTAGAAAGAAGTGACTTTACCAGATCCGTGTAGCCTGCTCCTCATCTCTGCTTGAGGCTAGTGGCTTTAGTCTAATTCAGCCACTATTAGCATAACACACCTGAATCCCCTACCCAAGAGTTGGTGGACATGTTGCACTCTGGGCAATATACAGTAGGCACCATATATTGGCAAGGAAAAAAATAATATAGAATAAAAAAAGATTTGGTTCATTTGGCAACTATCTATTGTGAGGTATCGACAATGTTATAGTGCAGTGCTAACATCACCTGGGGATACTGAGGTAGCATCCAAATTTACTGGGGACATAGCTGGCACAGGATAGTGTCAGGGCACAGGTAATACTGGTAAAATAATTAGTTGTTAGGTCTGGATGTAATTTGTTGTTAGGCATGTAATTACCACTAGTATGCCTTACAACTATACCAGCTTCTAGCAGGCCCCACATATACTGAATTTCTTCAGTTGTCAACAACAACAAAACCTGCAACCCTGATTAGCTTGACTCATTTCACACAGTCACTCTCCTCCTTCCTGCAGGGCATCAGTCCTATTCTTGTGTTTCCGGCCATGTACTTAATTTGACATTGGTTTCAGTTCATTTAGGTCAAGAAGTAGGCACAGACAAAAACAAAAACAAAATACCTCAGGGATGAGGGTTGTCATTCATTTTCTATCACAGTCTCAAACAGCAGAACAACCACTCACCTCTCTTTTTCCTCTACTCTCTTAGGCGTCTGTGCCCTGACAGGCTCATATTAGGTAAGACTCGCCTTTTTGACATTTGACAACCATTCAACAGAACAAATGACAACCTGTGATAGTGATAATAGGATGTTCCAGAGTAAGGGTGGTTCCAGATGCTGACTGAGGAAAATACTGACAGTTATGTGCTTGAGAACATTGGTGGAGCACAATCACACACACCTACGGTACGCTGCTTTTGGGCACCCCATGCTGGTGTGCAACTGACCCATACTGAAACCCTTGGCAACAGAGGTTATATGATAGGAATGACTAATAACACACATTGCAGCCAGGGTATTCTTAACAGTGCTTGCTTTGCTAAAAAAAAAACTCTGTGTGCATTATTCCTATAGGATTCAAGCAATACATTAAATGTTCTGACAACTACTACTTTCCAAACAAGATGTTACAGTCACAGTGAAATGTCATGTTGTGTCTTTGCAGTGAAAACACTTCTCATAACAAATGGACAGGAAAAAGCCAGTTGAGAGCTTAATGTGGAGTTAAGAGTTCAAGCCCTCATAAGACAACTTGCTGACCTCAGACAAGTTATGTGAGAGGGGAAGATCCAGGTCACAATCCTCCACTATGACAGTACCAAAAATATCCAACGCGTGCTCCAAAGGAAGGACAATTGCTAAATGCGATCTCCCAGCTTTCTGCATACACTTAGTTCTAATTAACACTGAATCCATTTACTGAACAGGTGACAGTTACTTTGTAAATCTCATACATACTGCAGTGAGCACTTTGTTTAATCTACCATGTATCTACACTCCCTTGAGGTTTCACAGATTATAACAGCAGACACTTCCCTGGGTGTGGCTGGCTGCACCATGCACGCAATGGCAACAACACTGCTCAGTAGTCCCTGTTTTTGTTGAAAATGCATCTTCAGCATTGTATCAACACAACTGACCATATACCAAGGACAAAGAAATAAAACCAATTGCGGTAGAGGGTAAATACTTGCACTGCCTGCAGTGTCAGTGATCTCAAAAAGCTTGGAAGACTCAGAGCCATGACTTTCCAGGCAGGATTTGTTGTTGTGGTTCCATGGGGAGAGTTGAAAGGATAGAATGGTTTCATCTGGGTCAGGTCAGTTGAGCAGTTTGAGCCCAAGAGTACATTAGAAAGAGCTGAAATAACGCTCTTAGACAGAGCAAGGAGCGAACTTGAGTGCCATGGCAGCCCTGTAGTGCTTTTAACATGCCCTGTGGATTCTTTGGGTTCATTAAGCAGTTTGGGGTTTGTGTGACAAGCCTTTCCACAACCTGCTGTGACATGGGGAAAACGCCCTTCACCGAAGAAAAAAAGAGAGAAAGCGCTACAGGTAATGCCAGTAAAAGAGCCTGAAGGACACTATCTCTGGAAGCCATTTACAGAGTGAAAAGGTAGTTGGGTGAAGAGGGAAAGCAGAGTTCATACACAGTATTACATTTCTATGCAACTACTGTATTTAACAAAGGTAAACTAAAAACTTAAATTACCTGCTATTTTTAAAAGTTATACTTCTGCTGAGTTTTTTAATGGCGGATATTCTACTTTGGAACAAAACTCTGCAATTTTAGGGAAAATATAAAAAAAATCCCAGGCTGTTGCTTCTCAGGGCCTGTGTGTTCCAGTGATCAGAGAGAATGTGATTTAAGGTGATGATATGCAGAGGCGCCATCCTCGTCTGGCAGACGGCTGCAGCAGTGGTATGAAAGTGCTCCCTTCGGCAGAGAGCACGTGTTGCCTAGCTGCTTCCAACTTACAATTCACCAGAGATAGACTAGGTCCGCTGGCACTTACGCCAGAACCTCGCTGCCTTAGATATTTATACTCTGTTCAATATCCGGCTGAAATATGGTGAGATTCAATGAATATTCTTGAAGTTTTAAAAAGGCTGTAAAGGATTTGTAAGTATATGTGAGCTTGCTCCCATAGAGCGTTGTTATTTGTGTTCAGTTTGAGAAAAGTTTTTGGCCTCACAGGAAATGAAAAATCTACATAATAAAAAAAACCCACCATTGGAATAAGTTCAATTAGCAACTGCCACATTTTATGGCAAATAAAAAAAATATTTTAAATATTCAAGCCACTCTAAGTTTGAAATAGGAGATAATAAATGAATGTTTTTCATCATCAGCTTAATTAACTACCTGGGTAACGTTATGTATTAAGGACAAACCTGCGGGTCTCTGGCCTCTGGTGGCACTCCTTGTTGTTTGGGATCAGTCAAGTGGATTCAGACTAGGCAGGATAACTGTAGCCTGGTTCGACTTAAACATTTTACAAGGCAGTGCCCATAATTGTTTGTTCAAAGATAATGTCCGGTACTTGCTTCCTAGCTAACACCGTTTTGTATTTGTTTTATAATCCATCTGTACTTTCACATAGACACACAATACGCCCGCACACACACACTACACTGCCAATGGTGAAGTTACTAATTTGAGTGAATTCTTTTTAAAGCTTTTGCAACTTCATTCCGAGTGAACATAGCTGTCCCTTGTTGTGTTTACTATTTTCATTTGGTGACCTGACTATCAGGGCATGAAAGCTGTCCACTGGAAACTGGTGCTCCACTGACAGGACCTTAGCAAAAACACTACATGGGGGATGGGCCAGTTCCATTTAAAACACATTGGTTGCTAGTACTCAGCTATGATTGCGGTGTAGTACAAAATATTCTACGCATGATGAACAGTAAAGATTCAGGGCTTTGCTGAAAACATTCAGGGCTTAAGCCCCGTAAGCCCAGCCACGGGGCTGCCCATGCCTGAAATCAATATTTAATGTTCATTTTCACCCTGTTTCCTCCGGAAGTATAGCAAATTGGTAGCCGGGTAGCCAGATGCTGGAGTCAAATATATGACTGCCGGACAAGTGAAGTCACAGCTCATCATTTTACACTTCTCTGGAAGAGACAGGTCATCCTGTGGTCCTGACACAAACATGAATCCTCCTAACCCAAATAAAGCCATCCCAAAGCACATCACCTAGTCTGCAGACAGGTGCTCTGAAACAGATACCAATGCTTAGAGCCACTGAGGCCGTTTCCATTTTCCTCACCAACAAAAGAGGCCAAAGAAAAATATCTGAAGTTAAAAGGAGACGAGCCTGTGCCACAACAAAAAAGAAAAGATAAAACAGCATGAAAACATTGTACTTCACAGATAACAGCGCAGTTTATTACCCACAGCAAATTCAGTTGACTTTGCATTAACGCAGTCAGCATTTCTAAACATTACCCTGAGCTGTCTGTCGGAGTATTTGCAGATAATTGGCATACAGAGAACAAAATGTACAGCCTATGGTTTACCCATCCTACATATCTTCACGTTTGGCCTTCCTTTTTGTCCTCACCCCGATACTGGAGCACTCAGCCAGGGGATTGGCTGCCCACACGGTGCCTTGCTTGTCAATTGATCAGGGTCTGACTCTAGCTTAGTGCACCCTCACTGGAAACCTCAAATGAGGCGCAGCACAAATGCATTCATCTTCATCAGAGGAGCACAGGATAAAGTATCAAGGAGTTTTTGTGCAGCAGAGATGGTTATAAAGTAAGCACTGAAACCAGATGATTTTTTGTTTCTATTTGTAGTGCTTCAAGTGCTATAACTATCACATAATATCTGTGCTGTGTCCATGATGAAGCTACATCACAGGCCCACTAATTATGTGGCGCTTCTGTGCAGTGTTTGCTGGCTTGTTGTTGCAAGAGATGCCAACCATATAGACCTGTGCAGTACTATAATTTGTGAACTCTAGCATACGAATGCATTTTTCCTTCTTAAATAAATTGCAGCTGTGAGAGCTTGATGCCCTACATTTTTCTGCAAGTTGAATCCTGCTTTTCTGCTCTGTGTCTCTGATCAATCACCACTCTACCAGAACTCTTACTGACCGTGGTGAAAAGATAGTGAACCTTTGAGGCTGTGACCTGTGATGAAATTCGAGACGTTGTGTGCACGGTAAAACCAAAGAATAAAACAGCCCCCTCAGAAGGAGAATCATGGATTTATTCTGGCCAGTGTAATTTATTAAACTGTTGCTCATGCCCATTTATCATAATCAATCAAAGGGCAGCTGGGCCAAAAGAGCAATTTAGAGCACTGCAGAGTTATGCCATTGCTGAGTCTGTAATAAGTTTGAAGAAGATTATATAAGGCAATATTGCACCTTGGGGTACAGTTTGTGTCAAAATGTAATGAATCATTCATTACTGGAGATCCATAGCTTAAACATTCGTCCACAGGTTAATGCAGAGAATGGGCTGTAAAAGATTAAAAGGAATGAAGAGTGAACATAGAAATACATTTAAAGTAACAGAGATCAAGCAGGCCAGATGTGGAGAACATATGGTAGATTTTTAAGCAATAAAAAAATGTTGTTTTTCAAACCACTGAACATGTCAGTGGCACCAACCTGCAAATTGTGTTTTCTTGCATAACATGTACCTTGAATGACAATATAAAACTTTCAGAAAGAACGAAAAAAGACATGCTTTTTCCATGACAGTAACAATATTCTGTGGGTGCTATATAATATGCAACTCCTTGCTCTGGGCAGACTTTGGATCCCAACACTATTGATTATGAGTAACACCAGATGCCAGAGTTGGATGAGCGATGAGCAGTGAGAGGATGAAACTGATGAGTGTGTCATGAGGGGGTTGTTTGTCTTTTGGCCAGGGAATTGTGTCAAGGCTCACAACCTCCAAAATCCATCAGAAAACTAGCTGTCCAACAGACTACATGTTCATTAAAGCACATTAGACATGTGGACACTTCTTTTCCAAGGCGGTGATAGATGGCTGCTTCAACTTTGGGACGTTGTTTCCTAAGCAAAGTCATCAAAACATAGGAATAAACATCTCATTGATAGCACACAAAATTATATAATTTATCATCACTTCTAAATAGCTCTCTAAATAACGGGGCATGACCAAATGTATGTCTTTAATGAATAACATACAGATAATACATCATATTTGAGAGCACAATGATGCATTCTGAGGTCTTATTTGTGAGAAAATCGATCCATAGTACTTTGTAAACGATGCCTTACAAAGTCATGTTAAAAAGCACATACACAGATTTTATGCCTCCACTGATCATTTTCAGCATAATCTCTCATCAGGTCTGCTGATACCACACACAGTGAACGGCCCACAGTCCCAGCAGAGACATGCTGCAGCTGCTGCGCTGGTGCCTCTTAGATCTTCGGGACTTGGGCGATGTTTTGCCCCACTTACATGCAGCAGCTTTGTGAATTAAAAAGGCTCCACAATAAACTCTGCTTGTGCTGCAGTGGATAGCAAAGCCTTCCTGTGGGTCTGAATTAGTGTTCTTGGACTTGTACCCAGAATCCCTGCAGCCAAACAAAGCAGGGAAGAATTTTCTTTGCTGCCTAACACCAGCAGAGGGGGGTGTGCTCAAGTCAGGAGGAGAATGTGTCAGCTGTGCCGGCTGAAGCCTCAGATGTTTCTCAGCAGCCACACCCTGGAATAAAACAGCTTACTGACACAACCACAATGACATGAAATGATATGTGTTACTAATTTGAACATAAACAGTGTCTGGTACATCTGCAACATTCCACACAGTCAGATGATATGATGAGTTGAACAGTAACACAAATATCTGTTGTCTCAATGTGAAATACTCTGTAAACATAGCAGGCTAAAATAATGATAATTAAATTTTACATTTATTGACTCTGACCAACTCCAATCGCTCATGCCAGATATGAGCCTGTCTGGCAGTTTGTGATTTAAATGAGTCCTTTCTGCCCATTCTGTGATAGTCTTTCCCAAGGGCTCTGAATTGAGGTTTTTACTTGTACTAGCTGTCACTTAGGAAACAAAACTGAAAAACATACTGGCTCAGTAGATCCAAGCGAACAGTCTCCCTCCTGCGCAGTGCAGAGGGCTAATATTTGGAGTTTTTTTAAATGAAAAAAACAGGTTAAAGAAATCCCTTCTGCAGGGCTTTATGAAATAGTCTGAGATGAATTATGCACATCCACTGGCTTTTGATATCCATCCCACAGGGCCTTTTCTCTTTTCATTAAAGCTCTATTTTTTTCCAACTATGCATCCCCTTTTTTAGAGAAAATGACTGGGCAAAATCCTTTAGTTCAAATCAGTGCAAGATTAAATAGCCTTTTGTGTGTGCTTTTTCTGAGGCTGCTGGCTGTTCACTGGCTGGAGGGCTATAATAATTTACACTAAAGATTAATTAGGTAAGGCCAGCGTGTTGAAGTTGCACTTTGGTCTTATCACATTGAAAAAGATCAATACAATCACAATCACACTGAAATCAATTGTACACTGTAAAGCAAGACCAACAAAGAGTATTTAGATGTCTGAAACATTGTCTGAGGCATACAACTTTAAAACAATTTGTACCAGTCAAAGCTCTGCTGTATGTCCAGTGACCCAGCTGAGTGAAGTCACTGAGAGCGCGCGCACACGCACACACACACACGCACACACACACACACACACGCATATATAAGTCCTACTCTAACCTCCTAACCCTGGTGAAAACTGGCAACCTCAGTGCTAAATGCTGAATGCAGCTGTGGTGGAAACAAGTTGGACACCAACTCTGTCCTCAGTTGTGATGCGCCCAGTCAATTGGTTAAAAGTCTGAAAGTCATTAACACCCACACATGCACAGTGGCACTGTTTGGCTAAATCATGATTAATAACTAATTCATAATTAATTAATGACATTTGACTTCACTGAGTGGATGTTATCTTTGTGTCTCACATCTCTGATGAAAGTAGGGACATCTAGTTTAAACTCTATGCCGCCTCTACTGTAGCTCAGTTGCATTCATTGTATCAGTGGACATCATACAGTATCCACGAACCCGCCATTTGGTTAAAAAAAAGACGGTTTATAATAACGATGAGACACGGAGCTCATCCATATTAGAAGAGTCTTTAATGAACTCAGACCGTAAAAGACACTCCTCCCGCTCCCGGCTCCCACCGCTCCGCTCCCGTAGCCAGTCGATGCGCGGCAGCGCGGGAGGAAATTCATAGCCCCATCTTTATCAGTATCAGCATCGCCTTGAAGACAAAGAGAGCGCCGCAAATGAAGATGTGCTCCGATAGCAGGAGAAGCCCGTTTTAAAGTCACTATTTCTGCAGCCGTGCCCGCCCGGAGGCAGACAGATACCGGTCCTTGGAGACTCTTCGGGGATGCGCAAAGATGTGAGAGTAAAAAAGCGAGATGCATTGTGATTGGCCATACTCTTTCTAAAAGCATCAGACACGGCGAGTCATGTTTGCTCCAGCCAGAGCAGCAACGAGGTGGCATCAAACTTGAAGGAGACGTGTTCTCAGTCTGCACAGTGGATGCGTTCACAGCGTCAACGATAAACTTGACGCATTTCCCCTAAAGAGGCGGACGCGCTCTCCGTGGTGCTGAAACAGAAAGACTTGGCTGATCAACTAGTGAAGAAGAGGAGGACGGCCTCACTTCGCCACCTGCTTCTGAGCTTGGTGCTATTAGATAGCTTCAGTAAGGTAAGTCCAGCACTGGATGTAGTGTACAGTAAAATGCAGATGAGCTGTTTCAGTCATATCTCTTTATTGTGATTGGGGTATTGCTATTACAGCCTCTACAGCGTCCACTCCATCTGTTATTTGTCTTTATGTTGTCCTTAGCGCCTGCATGTGTTTTATTTTAAAGTTTAATCCTGCAGATTGACTACAGCCACACAGTTACACTGTCAATCAATCTTTAGTTGGTTTAGCTTACATGCTACAACTAGGGAAAAGTATTGACCTGCAGATACCACAGATTGCCTGTTGATTTATCTCTTTATGATTGTCATTATTAAGTGTTTCACTTTCCAAATTTTGATGTCCGTTTAGCTGTGCCTCGTATATTTATTTTTCCTTCCTGCTGTGGCTTTTAACCTTTTAGCACCAAACTTTGAGAATCAATGCAGCACTTATCTTCTCCTTATTCTGTTCAATTCTGTTTTTAGGTTGTGTTGCATTACAGTTCATTTACTTTTAGTTCATAAGTTGAGAAATTGTGAGACCATGGGATCATTGCAAAATCAGGGATGTTATTGCCTACTGCATACCGACTCTTCCTTCTGTTGGTTTTTGTGCAGTGAAATATTATCACACACATGTCAAGATATGACAAAGGGACGATTATTCTCTATATGCATTGTTAGATAGACATTGTGGGGTGTATCTTTACTGGTTTCTGTTACATGCAAAGAAGATAGTAGTATGGATTACGATTGTTGTATGTACCACATAGCTGCTTTTAACATAGTAAAGAATGCTTTGTGTGGGGAACATTATGTAAGGACTCTTTGTATTGGGGCAGAGACTGGGGGAGCCAGCGGTTTGTGTTGGTCTCTCACTTTGCAGCCTGCTGGTACCTGATAACTTCATGCAGCACACATCCGTGTGGTACAGCTTTTTGTTTTTTTGTGCCCAGCTTGTGGTTCCCAGGCTTCCAAAATCAATTTATGTTTTTTTTTTTGTCTTTAAACAAAAACTTTGTAATTGATGATGAGGGTCAGTGATCCATTCCACAGATTTTAATGGCTTTTGTTTTTTTTTCTAGTTTGGCAAACCTGTGGCTGGAGTACAATCAGGAAATAGAAAATTTCAGGACAGAGTTTGTGTGTGCTGTTGTTCGGGTGTCACATAGGATTGGTGTGCAGTAGACCATAACAATAGGCACTGCATGCTAACTGGCCTCAGGCATGTATTTTGGGTTAAGCCACTTTATTTAACGCAAATGATTTTGCTCCACCATCTTGAACACAATCTTATGCTTTATAGTGACTTTAAAACTCTAGATGCTTTCAGAGATTTGTCCAATGAAATCCTAATAAAAGCTGCCAGGGACAAATCAAACCAAGAAATGTAGTTAACTGGTTATCCTATAAGAAGGTTTGGAGTATTACTAACTGCAACACAGCAGTTTTTACTTCTTTTCCTTGAATATTTTGCATTCACTATGTACGCCGGTGGTCAGCTAATAAAGATTGGTTCAAAAGTTTAAGATCTATAAGATCTTAAATAGTGTTGTAATTGCAAGTACTGTGACTTACTTGCTTTAATTAATTACCCTGTCGGTCTGAGGGGAGCGTGGGTGTCATCAAAGCAGAACAAGGCCCCTTTGAGGTGGGAAACTTGTGGCTGAATGACTTAAGTTACGGTTAATTTCAAAAGGCTCGACTTCATTTCAAAGACACTTTTTCTGGTCTTTTGTATTGAAATACATTTGGTAATTTACATTTCAGTCATCAAGTCAGTTAGCTCAAAACACTGTGGGCTTGTGGGAGACTTTGCACAGAGCTTAAAGCTGCAATAGACAAGCTTGCACACTGGAGGCTCAAATCCATCCAGTCTCTGACACTTTATATTAAAGGATTATAAAGCTATAGAGTCATAAGATCTTACATGATTGGATGCAGCTTTCTTTGGTTCTTCTGTTTCAAAGACAATTTGCTGTTATGTCTAAATGTAACACTTCCCATGCGCAGGTGAGAATTCCTGCCATTTCATAATTTAATTTGAATCTTGCATGCTTCTTTTCTAACCTAGCCGGACTTTGTTATTTACACCGGAGACAGGTGTGTCTTTACCTGAAAAGCTTGTTCAGGAACTTGACCTGTGTGTCGGATTTTTATATTCACTCCTCATGCAAAGACAAACCCTCCACGAGATCATAAACAGAGCTGTAATTGCTAGTAAGATTGCTCAGCGGCTTTAATCAATTACCGCACCATCCTCCATCCTCAGAGATGGGGAGCGCAGGTGTCATCAAAGCAGAATGAGGCTCCTTTGAGGTGGGAAATGCGAGACTCAATGACTTCACTCAGCTGGGTCACTGGACACACAGCAGAGCTTTGACGCTTACAAATTGTGCTTGAAGATGCTGCGTTCATCCTGGGAGGCTCAGAGGCTGGCAGGGGACCAGCGGAGCGGGGACATTGCACTCCAGATGGCCCAGAGAGGCCAGAGGAAGAGAGCTGTCCAAGCCCAGCTGGGAGTAAGGGAAGCTGGACTGCCGGTAGTGTGACTGTGTGTGTGTGTGTGTGTGTGTGTGTGTGTGTGTGTGTGTGTGTGTGTGTGTGTGTGTTTGTGTGTGTGTGTGTATGTGTGTGAACGTGCGAGGGACACGGGATAAGAGAAACAGTAAAAGACAGAGAGGAAGAGGTATGTATGTGTGTAAGAGTGTGTGTGCGTGTTGAAGGAATGATTGGGAGAGAAAGGGCGGGTGAGTGAGAGGGAAAATGAGAGCGAATGAAACAGGCGCCTCTGTGTGTGTGTGTGTGTGTGTGTGTGAGCAGGCATGGAAATAGTGATAGGAAAAGTGTGGGAGGGAGAAGAAATAAAAGAGAAGATGAAGGAGCTTGTATGTCTGTGCGCTTGTGCGTGTGCACGTTTGTGTATTTCTGTGTGTTCGCATTGAAGGAGTGACAGGGTTGGAGACACAGAAAAATGAAAGAGAGAAAGAAACAGGCGCATGAGTGTTTCTGTGTGTGGGAGGGAGAGAAAATGAAACTGGAAGAAGCAGGCATGTGTGTGTGTCTATGTGTTTGTGTGATTGCAGAGATTGCATTACTGGGAGAGAGAAAGCAGGAGGGGCTGAAAAAAAAAAGAGGAAGAAAAAGGGAACGTGTGTGTCCCTGGGAAAGTGAGTGTATGAGAGGTGAGAGAAAAATGAAAAACAGGAAACCGGTATGGTGGGAAGCTTTCCTTTCGTGTGTCTTTGTGGAGAAAACGGTACACATAGGTGGTCTCAATACTGACAGTGGTATTCACTGATAATATTAGGCAGCAAATCAAAGCTGCATGGAAAATTACACAGAGAAAACAAGAAAAAAGGAAGGTTGAACAGAAATAGTGTTTCAGTTTTTCATTCAGTCTGTCATCTCTGACCTCTGACTCTGTTATCTACTTAATTCACGTGCTTGAACAGGAGTCCTGTGATGTACAGTGGTCATTATGCTTTATGGTGCAAGGCTTCAGGCACATGACCTCCCGCTGGAAGCTCTCAATCTGATATTCACTCCTCGCTCTGATTGAGAAGACGTGTTGCATGTGGGACATTTTTTTTTCTTTTTACTGCATCTTGGAGGCGTTGCACTCCCTCTAAAGTGAAGCCACCTGAGAATGAGCGCAGAGCACATGACAACACACACACACACACACACACACACACACACACGCACACACACACACACACAGTGGCTTCACAGAGATAACTTCGCCTCACTGTTTCCATTTGGAAAGCCGCTAGAGAGCAGATGGAGAGAAAGCGTGCTCTTTTCATTCTGCCACATCTGCTCTGTGATGGAATGGAGCATGATCTGCACTTTGATCACAATGAATTATTCCTGTCCTTGGCTATAAATATGGTCCGTCTTCAGCACCCAATCTCTCTCCCTCTACTTAAACAAGGAATCTGTGCTCAACTCAGAGTAGCGCTCTCCTGAGTGTGTCACTGCAGGCGTACTGCAGCTCCGGTTTTCTTCCTCACACTGTGAAGGAACCAGAAGCCCTACCTCAGTGAAAGCCTTTTCTGGAGAAGACTGTGATGTCCTCAGGAAAATCTATAGATTTAAAAAAAGGAAACAAAAGGGCTTTGTGTTTCTTAAAGGATGAGGCTGGTGTTATTCCATATCCCTTTAAAAACAAACGCACCAACCAACAGTACGTTCATCATCATCATCATCATCATCATAATAATAATAATAATAATAATAACAACTTCTTCATTAAAGGTCCAGTGTGTAAAATGTATCTATTTTTCTATTGGCAGAATCTGAATATAATATTCACAGGTAGGTTTTAATTAGTGTATAATCACAACCTTATATTACACATATACCTGAAACAACCATATATTCTTTACAGTGTAATTAGGAACATGATATCCACGCTGATAGCGGTACTGAATTTGCACAGCTAAACCAATGATACAACTGCACTGGCTTTCATTTTAAATGTCAGATTTACAGTACAATAGAAGTATCGTCAGACTTAATGGTCGCTGCTGACCCTTTAGTCTTTGTTTTTCATTTGTTTTGTTTTCATGCTATATAACTGACTCTCCCGTCTTTTCAGATACTGCCACTCCCTCCTCCCTTGCTATCACCTCATTCCCCTCACCTGGTTTTCCCGTCCGTCTCCTCACCTGTTTCTTATTCCCTCATTTGTCCCTCAGTATCTATGCCAGTCCACTTTCATTCACTCCCCGCCAGATTGTCTACTGTGTTATGCTTATTTCCTGCGTTCTTGGTTCCTCTTTTGACTGACCTCCCTTTTTGACTCCATTTGCCTAATTCCTTAAATTCAGATTTCTCTGGCTGTTCCTCGTCACATTTGTTTGCCTGTTTGCCTGTTCTCCTGGTTTAGACCTTTGCCTGCCTGAGCAAACTCAACTTTCTTGCTCCATTGTCTGCCTGTGTGTCGTGCTTCTGTGTTCTAATTCAGGCTCGCTGTAAGACTCTTAAGTTGGTGTAACAACAAGTTTAGATCGA